CCATGCCTGGCTAATTTTTGTATTTTTAGTAGAGACAGGGTTTCACCATGTTGGTTAGGCTGGTCTCGAACTCCTGACCTCGTGATCCACCTGCCTCGGCCTCCCAAAGTGCTGGGATTACAGGCGTGAGCCACTGCGCCCGGCCCTCATGCCATTTATTTTTAATCACACTTCTGAGAAGCTTGGTTGTCTACTTTTCAAACACAGCAGATTGGCACCTGTGAACTGGAACCTTAGAGGGGATTAGTAGGTCTTGCTGACACCCTGTATGGATAATCTAATGCATCTTTTTCTTGGTGCTAAGTGAAATGTTTCCCAGAATTTCAGCAGCCGTAGATTCACTCTCTGGAGCTACATAAAAATGTCGTCAATGTTCAGTGCTCAGAAATTGTACCCAATATTCCAGTTACAGGCTTATCACTGCAGTGGGCACAGTGGGAGGGCAGTGCCTTCCTTCGTCAGGACAGCCCTGTGCATCTGTGTGTCCTGCCTGTGTGTTTCTGACCATTCCCGTGCATTGCACCTGTGTTCAACTAAAACCCTTTGCCATTGTTCACCTTGACTGATGAGTCCTACCCTCTTCCCAAGTCGTTAACCTACCCCCCACCTTGCTAAATAAAAATGTCTGAATTTTTTTTCTTAATGGTCATGTTTCTAATTTATTTCTTCATCAGCTAGTCTTCCAGCCCCTGCATAGTACCTGCCCACATTGAAACAAGGCTGACTTGTGTGATCAGTAAAACACTGCAGAAAAAATATGACTTTTGAGGCTAGGTCCTAATGCATTGCAACTTCAACCTTGGTTTTTTGGATTAGTTCCTCTGGGATAAGCCAAGGCCACGTTGTAAGATTTAAGCAGCCCTCCACAAGGAGAGAAGCCATCTTGCTTACACTTGCTGCCAGCCATATGAGTGAGCCACCTCAGAGGTGGATCCTCCAGCTGCAGTCCCAGGCAACATCTGGCTTCAACCTCTTCAGAGACCTGAGCCAGAACTGCCCAAAAGAGCTCTTGAATTCCTGACGCAGAGATACAGAGAGATGCATGCTGTCGTAAGCCACAAAGTTCTGGGATAATTATGTAGCAGTGAATAGCTAATACAGATTTTGGCTTATAAATTAAGTGTGCATTGTCTTTTTGATGGTTCTTTGGCTTGACCAAAGGTTAACATTAAGGGTATGATAATGGGAACAGGCTGGGCACTGTATCTGCCGTCTATAATCCTAGCACTTTGAGAGGATCGCTTGAGGCCAGGAATTCAAGACCAGCCTGGGCAACATAGCAACATCCTCATCTCTAAAAAAGAAAATTTTAATTAGCTGGACGTGGTGGCTCGTGTTTGTAGTATTCTTCACATAAATGAAGAATAAATAAATGGAGAAAATACAACTCCCACGCAGAAGAATTCTAAGTAATTTACATCAACACTCCACCTTTAAGATGGGCATAACTCCCAGTCCTTAAGTGTGGCCTGTACACAGTGACTTGCTTGCAAAGAGGAGAGTATAGAAATGGGAATAAAATAGTAACTACAGTGGAGGAAACTGACACTTTCTCAGCCAGATGATCAAGGTCAACGTCGATAATGTCATGTTGCTAGGAAATACCTCAAAATGGGAGAATGGCACTTTACCTTTTTGGTCTTCTTTCCAAGACCCTGTGCTCTCAGCTTAATCATGAGAAAAACATCAGATATAACCTAGCAGAAGGACTTTACAAAATACCTTCCTACTGTCAAGATCATCAAAAAGAAGAGAAGCATGAGAAATTGTCATGCTTAGAAGGGCCTAAGGAGACGTGATGACTAAATACAGTGTGGTGTCCTGGATAGCATCCTGGAACAGAAAAAGGACATTAGGTAAAAACTAAGAAAACCTAAAGTGGTTAGTTAATATGTATCAATATTGGTTCACTCATTGTAATAAATGTACCATGCTAATGTGAGAAATACTAATAAAAGGGGAAATTAGGTGTGATGTATCCTCACAATTTTTTCTGTAAACATAAAACTTAGAAAATAGGCTGGGCGTGGTGGCTCACGCCTGTAATCCCAGCACTTTGGGACGCCAAGGTGGGCGGATCACCTGAGGTCAGGAGTTCAAGACCATCCTGGCCAACATAGTGAAACCCCGTCTCTACTAAGGATACAAAAATTGGCCAGGCGCGGTGGCTCACGCCTGTGGTCTCAGCACTTTGGGAGGCCGAGGTGGGCGGATCACGAGGTCAGGAGATCGAGACCATCCTGGCTAACATGGTGACACCCTATCTCTACTAAAAAATACAAAAAAATTAGCCAGGCTTGGTGGCGGGCGCCTGTAGTCCCAGCTACTCGGGAGGCTGAGGCAGGAGAATGGCGTGAACCCAGCA